TGTATGTGTGTGTGTATTTTTTTGTAGATTTGTTTCTGTAATAATTGTATAATTACAGAGTTGATATAACGTCGATAGGATTAAGTATTTGTTTTAGAAATAGTGAAATTTATGAATCATAAATCATATTCCAAATCTCCTTTTCCCTCTCCCGATCCAAACAATTGTCATCCACTAACCTCGAGAAGACCGCGAGTAATCGGTTCCAATCCTTTAATTTTAGATTTAAGACATTTATAATGTATAAAGAAAATGATAACTTGGCTCTGTAAAGTTTATTCGAATGAGCCTGTACAAATAAAGTAATTAACAAAAAAAAAAAAAATTATGAGGATATAAAGCAGGATTCTTACTGCTTTGTTCATGAACAATACAATAATGATGGCTTATATTACCACATTTTTTATTTAAACACTTCGCAGCATTCAGGGTTGAAAAAGATCGCGATATTTCACAAAGTACACCAAGGGAGAAGTTCGCTACTCACAGTGAGTTTTGGTGAATATTTTCAACACTGCTCCGATTACTAAATTTGACATGAAAAAAATATCGCAAATATGAACGAAATAACAATATCAAAACCCAAACATTGATTTTTTATCATGATAGCTAAATTTGTTATCTTTTTACACATCATTGGGACTATTTATAGTCTGTTGATGCAAATATAAACAAATAAAGAAATAACCTTTATATACCGTTTAGATATTATTTTTGTTATGATAACTGTTAACTCGACACGACGGTTGGCAAAATATTTTTATCATGATCTTTTATATCAAAAATCAAATTATTTTTTATAAACGGCGCCAGTGGTGTACACACTTAGAAATTTTCGCCGACTTCGGTAATTTTTACCGAAATCTGAACAGCTGAACTATTCGGTAAAATTTATGCAATTTAATTAAATTGCTTTTCAGTTACTTTGAAACTAAATCTACACTAAAATGACAAGATTTGATCATTCAAAGTGTTTTTTATGTTACTTCATACGCGAAGTTAACGATTTTCAGAGTATGACGAGAGGAGCAACACAATAGTTGGGTAAAGAAGAACTGCATTATAACACACCATCGACTGGAAATGCTCTCGCGACGTGGGGCTTTAGGTAGTGATGAAAACGTCGCTAGAACTATTCCACAGCCGCAGTCAGTTTATGAGCAACAAGAGGGACGCACATTTTTGCCTGTGGACTTGGAGACATACTTCAAGTCCCCGCGTACATCGTACGGGCTAGGCAAAAATGTGCGTCATCTTGAAAACTGTCGCTTTAATGGCCCTTCGCTCATTTTCAACTTCTATTCAATTTTCATACTGCCGTACTCTAACGGAACTATCCACCTACATTCTTCTAAAGATCATTCTCTAGCTAATAAATCATCACACTAAAGCTTCATGTTAGCATTTCCAACCAACTCTGAAGATTTGATCGTTTAAACAAGGTTGAACATGTTTTGAATATTTTTTTTAATTCAATGGACTTAAAAATGAAGGTCAAAGTTTTACCGAACGTTCAGCTGTTCTGATTTCGGTAAAATTTACCGAACACGAAAACAAAATCTTAGTGTGCACACTTACCCCCTTATTCTGCGAGTCACGTGACTCTCTCTCACCGGTGAGGTGACAATTGTCACCTCGTGTGAGGTGACTCTCCATGCAAATCAAATGCAGAGTCACCTCACACGAGGTGACTATTGTCACCTCACCGGTGAGAGAGAGTCACGTGACTCGCAGAATAGGGGGGTTAGTTTTTTCTACCGAGCTCGGCTGTGCAAATCTCGGCAAAAATAAGTTTCACTGAGATCTCAGCAAAAGTGACATTTGATTACCGAGTCTCGGATAATACTTAGCTTTTTTTTCCTTTGATTTGTTTTCCGTGCTGAGCACCAATGCGCTACCGACGCCAGGGAGGCAGCTCCCACACCTGGACCCTACCTATCGATCCATCAACTCATGAACGTTACGAATGACCATCCGAGGCTGTCATAGCCGAACGAACGAAATACATGAATAAGAACGAGCTGTCGTGTACTGCACAAGACGCCAACGTTGCAAGTCGTATGACAGCCTCACTGTGGGCTGTCGCTTATAACTCAATCTCAAGGCTTTCGTAGGAAAAAGAAAGCGAAAGCCGTTGGAATACTGTCATGAGGCGGTACTTTTTGTATGCCTGGTTCTTATACACCTTTGACCGGTTCGATTTCCCAAGCGTTGATAGATGTGAAAGCAAATCTCGGAGTCAATAATCTGAACGCTGAGGGTTCTATTCCTGTCTGCTACATTATATAATTATTTTTTTTAAGTTTCATGAGCTAACATATGCGTTATGCCAAGCTTATGATTTTCATAAGAAATCCATTTTTTCGAAAATGCATAAGTGGTACTTATGGAATTCTTACTTCTTTTTCCATGATGCAGCCCATTTGATTAATATACACTAAGGAAACTAGAACTACGATTTTCATAATATGTTTCGTATGAACGGTTGTTTTGAACTTTGGAAATCATTGCATACGACAACGTATGGTTTCCATAGCATGCTTATGCAAATTACACGTCTCAGTTATGTATTCCTTACGAAACGCTTCTACGTGTCATACGAGGCTGCAATGAACTCTATTAGTTGATCTTGTGTGAAAAAAGCATAAGTCGTTCTTATGATGTGAACGATATGGCGTACGAGCCGAAATAACTAGCGTATCTCAAAGTTCTGGTGGGCTGAATTCAAAAATAATAAAAACGCATTATAAAACGTACCGGTATCATCTGGAAGTTCGATTTGATTTGGGAGTGGATTGTGGACTGGTGAGAGTCAATCGTAAGATTATATAAGATTATTTCAAGTATTGACTATAAAGTTCTCCACAGAATCTGTCCAATATCATATTCCGGACAATCAGGAATTTCTGCAGATGTCATCGCGGGCATAACTTAGTTGAAATTAGAACCAGTGGCATCGATAGACCCAGACTGTAGTCAAAGCACGAGTGAAATTTTTAAAACAAATATAAAGATTGATATTCATATAATCAATATGTATTTATGTATATTTAATTTTGTTTAATGAAAATAAAATGATGTTAATTTTGTTTAAATTTCTTGATATAATTAATTTACTAGTAATATACAAACATCTGATGCACAGGAATATTTACAATGAAGTTCATGATCATTTCGATTGCATTTCTTATTCCGCGCGTTTACAATTCATACGAATGAAATGTAAATTTTATACTCATTACGAATCATTTTCATACGGCAAAGTACGAAATCATTTTCATACGACAGTATACGAAATCTACACTGAGAAAACTAGAATTAAGATTTTTATAATACGTTTCGTATGAACGAGCATTTTGAACTAAAACATAAACATGTTTTTCATAGCAGGCTTATACAAATTGCACGTCTCAATTATGATTTTCATACGAAACGCGTTTGAAGTTCATACGAGACTACAATGAACTTTATTAGTTTACCTTGTGTGAAAAAAATAATACGTCGTTCGTATGAAACGATCGTATGCCGTTTGTTCAAAGCAAAGAAATATGGCGTACGAACAGCAATTGTTATCGGATCTCAAGGTTCCGGTGGATGCTTTGCCTGTGTTCAGAGGTAAAAACGCTAAATTCAGTGTAAAAGGATGTTCCGGGTACAAATTAGCATCTATATTACCATTTAATCAATGAATTTCGACTAAAATTACAGAGTGTGGTGTAAATACGGCAGCCTTAATTACGTAGACCAAGCAAAATATATTTCAGGCATTGTCTCGTGCTAATATAAACTAATATCTTTTTTCAATTGATTTATTTTAGCTGCAGGTTAAATCAAATAAACAATGCAAATCAAATGATTTAATTGTTTGTTTTACTAAATTAAATTAATTTCACATGAAAAATAAAACAAAATCTGAAGGAGCATAAATATTCACGATTTCATTGTTGATACGATTATATTCCGTATTCCACTCATTCAAAATCCATATGAATGAAATATGGTTTTCACAATCATAACGTACTATTTTCATACGACAGCTTTATGAAACTCATATCTATATATAGCGAAAATCATAAACGATAACGAAGGCGTGCGTTCATAATGCTATTGTATGAAATTCAAACCAAATTCTTTTGGTTAAAATCCATAAGCATTTCGTATGAAATTCGAACGAATTATTTCCTCAGTGTATATTATTCTATTGCACAAATCATAAATGATAACAGAGGCGGCTTTCGTTCATTTTGCCATCGTATGGAATAAAACATAAATTCTTTTGGTTAAATTCCATAAGCATTTCGTATGAAATTCGTACCAATTATTTCTTTAGTGTATGGATGCTTCTACACTGAAACAAGGACCATAGTTAGGAATACTATTTTGCAGAAAACACTTATTTTCAATATAACCACGCTTATTGCTGTTGAATCTACTATGAATTCAGTATAGTTGACTATGAATGTTAACAAATTTACTATGATTCTGGCAATACTACTATGCTTGCTTAAAATGCATAGTAATTTTGATAGAAATAATAGTAAAATTAAATGAAATTGTTTTCTGTAAAAATCTATTGGTGAGGGTAATCTAAACCATCAATATAGTATTTTTGCCAATGGATTTTGTTTCAGTGTAAGTGTCACGCTTCAAGTGCGCGGTATTAGGCACAATGGTATGTTTAACCATTACAATTTTTATTATTTTTCAGATTGTAAAAATATTACAAATTAAATTGTTATGGCAAAATGTATACAGTACACAATCATATGATGCTTAAAGAAACATAAATCACAGCAAATTGAGTTTTTGCTAACTGATTTAAACTTGAAGTGCTCTTAACCTCACGGAAATAGGGCATGTCACGGTATTACGTATTTCCTGAAAAATTGTCCAGAAAGCGATAGCATAAATTTGAGGACATAATTAACCTATCAACCTGTTATTGAATACATGCAAAAAAAAACGACGCCCCAGATTTAAAATTTGATCGTTACACTCACTTTACAGATTCCAGGGCTTCCATCATTGCGTCCTCTGACCAGGGAGTCGGATTTGATCGGGACAGTTCGATTCCTTCCCGTTTGCAACGACCATACAAAGTACCAGTCGGGATGCCAAATTCTGTACTTGCTTTCTGTACCGAAGTCTGGCCAGCACGGATAGCTTCCAAGGCACGATCTAGATCCTCCGCGGACCATGTTGTGGGGGCTGCATTGAAAGGGGCCGCCAATCGGATTCCTTCGCGTCGGGCAATTTTGTACAGTGTGGAAGACGGGATGCCAAATGCTTTCGATGCTTTATTGGCCGATATCGTACCGGTACGAAGAGCCTCCAGAGCGCTATTCAGTGAGTCTTCATTCCATGTTTTGGACGGTCCTTCCTTCTTAGGCGTGTCTATACCAAGTCGATGCGCTCTCTGCCATAGAGTCGTTGACGGTATACCATACGTCGCAGAAGCCTTTAATTTTTTTTTTTTAGACTGCAATTAGTATATAATCTTTCCGGAAAGACAAAATATATTTTCATGCCAGTGATACTCACCTTCGTCAAACTCATATTGTGAGTGCGAAGAGCCTCTAGCGCCGATTCCATATCTTCAGCCGTCCATGTTTTTGGGCCACTTGGTGTTTTGGGGTCACCTGCATTAGGACTCGTCAAATTTGTATATTGCGTGGACGATCCATCCAGAATGCCAACTTTTGAATCCTCGCTAGCATCTGATTGATAAATATCTACATGTGAGATTGTGGAAAGATTTTGCATTGAAGTTATAAAAAAAACAAACAAAAAATGTCTTATTGTCGCCCATGTAGGGTGTAGTGAAATTGGATAACTGAAACTGTTTGGAAAACAATTTTCATCACTGGGTATGAACTTACCACTCATTTGACTCTGGCTCATCATTCCGGAGATCTCTGGAGTAACAACCATTCCATGCATAGATGATTGATCTTGTTCGATTTCCATCTGCTGCTGTTGGTGTTGGTGTTGTTGTTGTTGTTGTTGTTGTTGTTGTTGTTGTTGTTGTTGTTGTTGTTGTTGTTGTTGCTGCTGTTGTTGCTGTTGTTGTTGCTGTTGTTGTTGCTGTTGTTGTTGCTGTTGTTGTTGATGTGTTTGTTGATGTGTTTGTTGCTCAACTTCAGTCATAATCTCTTGTTTTAACGCAATTCTCGTTTTCATTTCCACTGGCGTACCGTTATCGGAAGTGGTGGAAGCGACAGTTACCAGGTTTTCTGGGTGGTGTTGGCTAGACGAACTGGAAGCATTTGATGCAGGACTGTGGGTAGAGTGGTGGGAGTGTTGCGATTGCTGATCAATCAGTAGGACGTGCTGATGATGCTGTGGTGGTTGTTGTTGAGAAGGTTGATGAGGCGATAGACGTTGTTCTATCTGCTGCGGTTGAGGTGTTTGTCGGTGGATTTGCTGCTGTTGTTGCAATAAATGCGACTGTTGTTGTTGCTGGTGGAGGATTTGCTGGTGCTGTATATGTTGCTGCGTTTGGGTATGCATTTGATGGGTCACTTGGTTGTCTAGTTGGATTGCATCCTGTGCATCTAATGACCGAAGTGTTTCAAATTTTACCCGAATGTCGCCATTATTTGAAATCGAATCTAAATTTTAAGTTGAAAAAAAAGAAACAAAAAAACACATTATTCACCTGTTGATGGCGCGATTTATCTCTTTAGACCACAGGACGCTAGAAATAAACCGCTGATATAAGGGGAATAAAAATGGGCTACTAACACTTACTGGACAGATCACGTGTGTCATGGCTAGGGGCACAGTTAATATCATGATGCTCTGTCACTGGTGTTGCCGTTGGAGCCGGAGGCTCAGGAGCAAAGTCCAAGTATCCCATTGGAACGCCCATAACAGAGCCATTCTGAAAATATTAAATGAGATTAAATTTACAACCCTATGCGATCATCAGCTTCCGATAGTTTACTCACTATTCCAACTCCCATTCCAAGGCTGGTCATTTTGCCTTTTCGTTCTTTGTCTGGTGTTGAGGTTAAATCACGAGATTCTAAAACAACTACAGGCGATGATCCATTATCAGCCGTAGCCGATTCTGAATTACTGTTGTGACTTCTGCCGGATGATGATTTATGGCCACTTTTGGAATCCTGTCCACTTTGGTTAATGTTGCTTTGCGAGGAAGAAGATTGAAGATTTCTAGTGTTCGACAATGGTTGTGAACCCGGAGGTGGTGGATGACGATTGTCTGGTGATCGTGAACGGTATGGTTTGTAGCGTTTGACGGATGGTGAATAATCCTGTTCGTATTGGGGTTCACTAACTTCACATAATCCTTTGATTTTTAGCTGCTCTGCAGTTCGTAGTAAGCTCTGTAATGAGAGAAAGTAACAAAGATTAATATTGTTAGCAGGACTGTTTTGTATGTGTTCTATTATCTATATCATCTATTAGTGCCATTATTGTGTGTATTATCCAAGATCATTCGTTCAAAAAATATTTTGGTAATATTTATCGTGACATGCCCTTAAATTAAATCATATTAAAAATTGCAATGGTTAAACATATCATTTCTGTCTAATACCGCGCACATGAAGAGGAAAACTTTGATCATCCCTATATTAAACAAACGGGGTGCATCATGAATAGAACCTCTGTTTCTAACGTTGCCCAGAGCCTTGTTCAATTAACCACTTCATTCGAGCTGTTTAAATGACGTTTACTACCACTCGTACTTTGAAATAAAACATTATTTTGAGATGTTTTCTTCTACAACCACGAGAAAAGTAGCCAGCATTTGTGCGTTTCATAACAAAATAGAAATTAATTGGTCCAGTTTTGTGAAATCGCTGGTAGAAAGTCACGCCAAAACTGCTTGACAAAGTGGTCAATTGATTCAGAATGTAAAACATACGTTTTATTAAGTCATTTTGCAGCTGCAATCAAACAACTGTATTATGAACTAAAAAGTACGACAGTGCCCTGATTCCGTGGTTTTTATTCTATAAATATTTTGTTGTATACGTGTGTGTAACCAGTTGTCAAATATGTAATGCCTTCGTAAAATAACTCGATAATTTAACATTTGCGGAAATAATTTTGAAAAAAAAATCAATATACATAGCAACATATTCATGTTGACTGTCAAACCCACGGTATTAGGTGCTGCGCGGAATTACAGCAGGTCACGGTAATTGTTTATTGGTGTTAAACGCACAAAGCTTCACGCTCATCCAATTGACGCAACACGCTTTATGCTCTAGGTTTACGCGATCGGGGAGGACCTAGCATTGTGACTTTTTAGCAGGAACGTTGATCTTTTCGAAAAGCAAACGCAACGTGGAACTCAAGATCCCTATTGAAAAGAAAAAAATATGTCGCGTGGTGTAACGATTCGACTGAATGTTACAATAAGATACCGTACATAATATGAATTACCTTACTTGCGATTAAAAATTCGTGCAAAACTATTGCCACTCATCATTGATAATTATTTAGAAAAAAAAATGCAAAAACAAAAAGAAAGTAGATACCAAATCTCTGACCATTGACTACAAGCGTGGGCCAATGTCAGTTTTCTCTCGGCTCGATGCCGCACACAGTGGATGAAAATGAGAAGTTTATGAATAAATAAAACTCCAAAAATAAAAGCCGACATTGTACACAAAAACAGACGAGTCGAATGAAATTTTTTGGCGGCGTGTTATGTGGTAGTGCCACACTACGACTTCGATGATAAATATGACGACGACAAAGACGAGCAACGATTACAGCAAACGGCATGGGAAAGGTGCAATGGTAGAGAAGATTGAAGACCATGTGTGTTGGTATGAATACCGAACCACTCAACACAAAAAAAAAAGTACCAGCGATGCCACTTCTACGAAAAATCATATCAAAAGCAGTCGGTATCGTCCTGTTAAATTACTGTGCAATTCATATATGTATTTTTTCATATTTCGTTTCGTTGTGCTAAAAAACCAAAAAAAAAATTTATATACGATTAAGGATCCTAACGTGTTTTGTTTGTGCATTCCCGTGGATTCGGCGCGGTTGACAAGCACGATGCTATTTACGCGCTGTTTAGAACATGAGATTGGAGTAAAATAGATGATCGTATATGCACGGCCAATCAGAACGCCTTATCGACTGAATTCAATTGACTCAGAGCATTTTCTTTCCATACGAAATTTACTCATATTTGGGAAAACCTGCAGTTACTCATTGTCTATTAAATTGAGTTTTCCTTTAAGAGGGGGGTAAACTTTGATTTTTCAAAAAAAAAAATTTTTTTTTTTTGCTTAAAATGTTCCTTGGGATGTATACTTTAATTTAGAAAAGACTCCAAATCCGTCAGAATATTCCTTACCGCTTTACGAAGCGATTTCCTAAAACATGTACCGGCGCGCTGAGAGAGCAATTTTATCTTTAAACGCTTTCTACTTTCGCAGTACATAATGATACGTAATCTTTAATTAAATGAAGTTTTGATTGTATGCGTCAATATTGTAAATTGACCGCTCAGATGAAAAGCGAATCGAGTTAAAAAAGTTTATCGATAAATGGAATTAAGACCTATTCAAAAATTAATCAAGCAATGTTGTATATTCTAGCGTTCTTAATGAGGGCTTAACTGCAATGATTGATCCTCTTGATCAATTTTTCCTTTTGATAGCCAGTGCTATGCAAACGGATTTCGTGCTATTTTTGCCACATACCTTATCTAGCGTCTAAAACGTCAAACAAAACAGGGATTTGTTTGCAGTTATTAATGTATTTTGCACTAAGACTCCTAAAAAATGCGGAATCGCTTAAAAAAGTGCGCTTTTACGTGATATCGTCGTAAAGTACACCAATATGATTTAACGTAAAATCACACTATTATTAGCGTTTCCGCACTTTTAGTCGCACTTATAAGGGGGTGTTCATAAACTACGTAGACTCTTTATGGACAGGGGGGGGGGCAAATGTCTACGGTCCATACAATTTTGAAAAAAAAAATGTATGGACGAATGGACGATTGTCTACGCGTGGAGAGGGGGGTGTCTACAACCTCTAAAAATCGGTCTACGTAGTTTATGAACAGCCCCTAATGTATTTGCACAATGCGCTGTAATGCAAGAGAAAATAAATGAAGAGAATCGATCAACGAAAATAGGACCTTTAAAAATATTCATCCATTTAAGCTTAAATTCATAATTGCATTCAATATCCTGGAAAAAAGATTCATTTTTAAATTCAAAATGTATGTCCAAATATCTACACTTTACGTCCGGTAAGGTCGCAACTATACATAATATTAAAGAGATGAAATGCTCCTTGAACCTTTGAAAAATGCTCGCCCGTGTTTTTTTAGTCAGAGGAGCGGGCACAAACGTCTAGGATGAGGTTCCAAAAAAAAAAGCTCTTTTAATCTTCTTAAGTTCTAAATTTTCTTAAATTTTCCTAATATTCTTTTGAAAGCTTATTCTAGACGGTTATCCTTCGCTCCGCTCCTCTGACTAAAAAAAGACAGGCAGGCAGTAAATCTGAGTAGCTACGCACTAAAAGAGCATTTCCAAGGCATTAAATATTTTTTATATTGCAAAATTTTCTCGCTCGACTTCACTTGGCACTGTACTAGTATTATAATTGTTCTTGCCACACAATTATACTAAAGCAAAAATGGTACAGGCTTAGAAAGCTCTCATTCAACAACTGTGAAAGTGCATCTAGAACACTGAGTTTGAGGACCGGTGCAAAATCACAGAAGGCATGTAATAAAGACAAATAAGAAGAAGCTGAATACTTCTTGATATTCACGACAATCGCTAATTAAAATGCATATGATAAACCTGACCGATTGTTAGAGCGTTTTGATGTTGTCCAATTTTGACAGATAAGGGTTCTTTAACTGAAACTTATTTCAGATTTCGGGCATAGGGAACGTTGAGTGTGATTAAATAAAACTGAAAATTCAATTTTATATTTATTACATAACATACTTTAAACTCACAATAGAACCGCTCAGAACATATCTGTACTACTTAAATTTGCACGATTTTAATAAATAACCTGTGCCCGAGCTATATCGAAAAAAAATGTCAGGAAATTTGCATATAGCATAGCATAAGCAATTGCACAAATCGTGGGGGGCTATATAAAGATCAACCAAAACATTTTGTAGAAAATATCGTGCGTTGCCGTGAAAAAAACACTTGGGACTAGTGGTTTTCCCCACACATTAAAATCTACAAATCAAGCATCGCATTATACACCTGGCCACATCCTTACAATCGCAAGGTATATGAAGGAAAATTAGTTCAACATCTACTTAAGAAGGTGCAGGGAACCCATACTACCTTCATAGATGCCACGGGAGGAAACATTTGTGTTAGTAGAAAATGTAATATATTTAGGAATCTCTATTCGATATAAAGTAAAGGTTATGTGAAAATGTAAACAAATTTAAATAAATGCAAAAAGAAAGATCTCACCAAAATTATCTGTTATAAGCCTGTCTTTCCATGTTTTCGAAGCTGTTTAGCGCCCATTACACATATTAATATATTGACAATAAATTGACATACTGACAATATTATTGAAAAGGTGATAGTGAAGACGATGATTGATGACAAGTATTGACGAAAAGTTGATTTTTATTTTCACTTTGTCAATACTCAGAATGAATTGACAAAAAACAGTCAATTTCGCCATCAATATCATCAATATACGAATATTGACAACATTAATGGCAATACGTTAGAAGCCTTTTTACCTCCATGTATTAATGTCAATATTATCTGTCTCAATTTCCCCACACAAGAAACATGGATCAGCGAAAGAAAGTGTGTTTAGAGTTAATGTTTGCATTCGAGTCCAAACGTTTGATTGCTGGACCTGTATGTATAGAAAATACTAGCTACACACCAAAGTTTTGCCGGGTTTTTGAACAGCTGAAAAAGTTGGTAAAATTTCTAATGATCGCTACTCGAAGGAAATCAATAAAATCGACAAATTTGATTCGTATCATTAAATGGGGATAGTCCGTACATTTTCGGAATAAATTCCCAAATTTTTAATTTTTTCACTGATTTGTAAATTTTAACCCAACAATTCCGTAGTTAAAAAAATACCAAACAGTGGAGTCCTGGTTTAGAAGATATATATAGAAACCAATTTTCACCCAACATTTACGTATACTTGCATAAAATGTGTAATAAAATTTTTAGGATTTTTAGAATAAATAGTGTTTAATAATAATCTATTCCAGGTCTATTCTTAAGTTCCCATATAAAATAAAAAGAATTTATTTACAGAATGATGTAAGAACTAGGTGATTAATTATAGCATCCAATTTTATTTTTGATATCACTGAACTCTCCTGTTTCGT